AAAAGGGTAAAGGGGGTCAAATATATGGTGATGGAAAGAGAACTGACTCTGGGTGGTGAGCACACAATGTGATATATAGATGATGTATTACAGAATTGTATACTTGAAACCTGTGTGATTTTACTAACCATTGTCACCCCAATAAATTTAATTAAAAAAAAAAAAGAACTTCAAATGCCTTTTAGCAAACTCAGATTTGACACTTAAGACAATGGAGACACGATAGGATGCTCTGATATGTATCTCTTCCTATCTTTCTCTACCTCTATTTTGATAGATCCATTGTTAATGATACTTCTATTCAGAGTTTAGCCAAGGGAAATAGCAATCCTAGCAAAAATTTTGTAGAGAAAAATGTTTAAGCTATATGACACCTTCTTAATATGTATAGATTTTTTGTGTATGGTATTTAAGTCTTAGATTCCCAGAGAACGACTATGTACTTCATATTTCAATAGAATGTAGGTTTCAGGATATGTCAATTCAGCTGTATATTTTATTAGCTTAAATTTTAGTAATGTTTTATTTTTTTTCTTAACAATGTACCACTTTTAATATGAAAGGCATTTGATTGATTTGTAGATATTATGTTGCTTAAATATCTTGTTTAAATTGTGGCCAATATCTAAAGAAAATCTAACCTTTTGATAGTCTTACTGCACAGTGATAATTAAAAAATAAATAAAATATTCTTTCTTTAAAATTTTAGATTTCATTTTCTGAAGGTCAAGCACTGTCTACCATCACTCTGACTATTCTTGCTGATGATGTACCAGAATTACCAGAGGTTGTGATCATAACACTCATCCATGTTACTACAGAAGGGGTTGAGGACACATCAAAAGGTGCTGCTATTGATCAGAAAAGAAACAAGTCTGTGATAACCACTCTGCCCAGTGATGCACCTTATGGTTTGGTGGGCTGGCATGCTGAGTCTCTCTTCCTTAGAGTAGCAGAGCCTCAAGGTAAATCTTGTTAAATATGTCTAGTAAGTTTTATTGGATAATTTAATTCTAATATTTATTAGGAATGTGCATTTCTCTTTTTATATATATTTTTTTCAGTTTGACAGGTTATAATCCATTTTACTTTTATTGCATTTTATGATCATGTAAGTATTCAGTAATAATGATGTAGAAAATAATTTTACTTTTTTGAGACATTACTATCATAATAGAAATATTAATATTTTAGCAAATCATTGCAGTAGAGGGGGTTGGTTTTTATTTTACTTTTTCATCCTTTATTTATTTGTTCTCTTTCCTCACTCAGATTTTCTCTCTATAGATTTTCAATAGTTACAGGAAATAACACAGAGAAATGCATATGATACTTCAGGTCTTAATTGTTAAACGTAAAGCAGTAATTAGAATACGTAGTGTTTTTTTCTGTGCAATGTAA